AGGAGAATTCATGTGAAACTGACCATGACCATTCGTAAAGAGAGATCACAGACTTTATAGCACTTTAAGAGGCTAACTCATCAGATTTAACAGCCGCTGGAGACAGTGTACAAGTTGCAGAAGAACCATAATAGGAAGCAGCAAACTGACAGCAGATATTTTTTTCTGCCACCTGCTGCCTGCTCTGCTTTGTAGGTGAGGCGCAGTTAATTTACAAAAAGCCTATTGGTTAAACACATTCAGCCAAACTCCTTGATTTGTCTGTTCTTGTGACCATCAGATAATTTCAGAGTTTGTTGGCTTGTTTCCCCTTCAGTGTGATTACTGATAAGAAGTGAAAGACTAAATATTTACAGAATGATATGACTTGAAGTGTAGAATTGTACTGGCTGTAAGTTAAATAGGGCTGCGGCATTGATGAAGTGCGAAATGAATAACTTAGAGGTTTAGAGTTTTTTGCAGTTTATTTAAAGCTTATTGCTGCAAGAAATCACACCATGGGCTGGCTATATATATATATATATATATATATATATATATATATATATAGATAGTTGTGATTATTTACTATATAGATAATCACAACTCCCTACTGCATGCTTATTTATTGTGATTATTGTTCAGTGGTCAGAACCATGGCCTCAGCACTTTCATATTCAATATTCAATAATACTGAAGAGCTGGTGGCATCTGGCCAAGAACAGTTTAGCACTCTGTTGTAGAGGATTTCTTGTCCTTTAAAGTATGACTCTGAAAGAGGAAACCAGACGTGGGACCTGCTTTTGAATCCAAGTCTTTCTCGCAAAATTGGGAGAAGATAATCTGAAAAAAGAAAAAAGATTTGCTTCTCTTGTACTTTTTAAATTTTATTTTAAAAATCTCACTCACAGTTCATTTGACCTAGAGCCAAGAAGTTGAAAAGTCAAAATTATCTTGTAGATCTCAACTGAGCTCAACTGGTAGAGCTCAAATCAAAAATAGACGGTAAAACCTCTACTTAATCTCTCAACTGGTCCCGGGTGTTGGCTGGGTTTTGGCTTTCATAGACATCCTGCAGTAGAGCTGATAGGCTGCACTTGTGAAACACACTTTAGGGTCAAAAACAAGCATTAGCTTTCTAGGAGCCTCTAAAAACACTCTCTCCCACCAAGTCAGCTTTTTAGAAATGATCAGGCAACAGGATTTATATAAACAGTAGTAAAAAAAAATGTGAACTACTAATCTTTAAAATTTATTTTTCCACCCAACGTTAGCTTAGAAGCCAAAAAAACAAGGCTCGTATAGGCTTTGATGGTGCAGTAGTCAGCATCTTTCCTTGGCCCTCTCTCTCTGGAGTTGGCATCTACTGCTTGCACCTGTGAGGGGTTTCTCCAAGTTTGCACGTGAGGTTAACTGGTGCTTCTAAATCTGTGGTGTGGATGTGAGATAGATGATAATCAGAGTCAATGAAGAAGTGTGTGTGGAAAAAAAAGCACCATGATTTTTTAAATCGTTAAGAATCCAGATACTGGTTGAAATATTGGTTTAAAAAAAAGCTCTTGTTTTTGGTTCATTCATATTCCTTTAACTTAGTTTTATTATATATATTTTCTAAAGGTAATCAGGATCCCCTGAGTGGATCTATTCACCGTCTGTTTGAGAGCCGGTCCTCTACAGGAGCAACTGCACTGTTTATACGAGGTATCAACAAACTAACACAATAAAACTCTCCGGTTCCAAACAACAGCTGGGCATTTTGGTGTCTGTGAAAAATGGCTCGACGAAACCAACAGAATTGTTTTTTATTAATAATTAATCCTCAGGGATGTTTGAAAGAATATATATATCAGCACAATTTAATTCTGTGTGGGGTTTTTTCCTCGTAAACAATAGAACTTCTTTGTTAGATTGGATATTTGCCAGCTAAACACTCCAATAAAATGGTCTGTGCACTGTATCTATTATTCTGCACCTGGCCTAAACGTCGGAAAGACACACAACAACCATTCTGCAAAACACAACAAAAATCCTAACTATCAGTGCTTCATCAACGCTAACATGCATTACTAATTAGTGTTCGGCTTAATGTGCTGAACACAAATTTTTACTGTTCATTAAGGTTAAATTTGTGGATGATGAACCAACAAATAAATCCAGAAAACGCCTGAATTTA